GGTCCTGCCCCGGGAGGCGCTCCGCCTTGGCGGGTTTCGGGGCCCTTTCCAGTGGGCCCGCTGCTTGGAAGAGGGCGGGACGGAGGGGCGATGCTCCGGGGCGGTGTGGCCCCGAGGAAGGAGGGAGCGAGGCCCGGCGGTCGTCACCCCTCGGGTAGAGGGGGAAGAGGCCCAAAGGGCTGGGCAACTTTCCTCTGCCGCGTTCGCACGCGGTTGGGGAGAGCAGCGTGTCAGCTCCCTGCCTGCCGCCGGCCCGCTGAGCCCCTCGGGGCAGGGACACCCCAGGGCGGGTTAATGCGCCTTTAGTGCTCCCTCCTCAGTCTTCACGGCTGGGCTGGCGAGCTCTGCTGACGGGAAAGGGGACTCGAGACCCTGTAGCTTTAGCGAGGGGAAGGATTGATTTATCGTCAGGAAATCTCCTGGGATTGGAAAGGCGATGGCTGGTGTCAGTTTAACCGTCTTGGGGGTGCCTCCCTCCTAGGAGGGGGCAGCTTTCAAAGACTCCTCTTTCGGTGTGGCAGGTGGGGATGATGTGGTTCACACGGTAAATAAAGACGTTATGGGTGAAGTGTGTTACAGCCTGTAAGGCAGCGCTTGTTCCGGGGAGAAGTTTGGCTGGTTAAGTATGCCGAAGCCTACATGTCTGATGTAATTTATGTGCTGGACCCTCAGGGTTTTTAATATAGAAGCTGTTGCTATGTTGCAATAAAAAACCTTCCCAAACATTCAAAAATAGTTTTGCAGCTTGGAGCTTTGGAAAAATCAAATCGGAGGCTGTTAGACAAATACACTGGAGCAGAGCGCGCACTGGTGTTGTTGATCTTGCGTGCCTCTAGGGTCTTTATAGCTGCCAACGTCTCCCCACTGGTACATTAGTTTGGTAGTTTCATCAGAGCTTGAAAACACAAGGAGCTGGACCAATTGTAGCATAGATCAGGTGATCAGTGGGATGGTGGTTGGAATAACTGCATTGTTCTGTATCTGTTCCATCCTTTGCTGGAAGTGTGCATCTGCAGCTGTACCTGAGGAGTAGTAAATGCTTCTGCCTGCACTGAGCTGTTAGTAGCAGCTATAACGGCAGGGATATATATGTGCAGGGATGAAGATGAGGTAGCAGGGAAGCAATGTTTTTGTGGTGTGATGTAAGGATGGGAGTACAGTGAGTGGGGCCCCTGTAGGTTAAATGTTTGACAGCTTTCCTTGGCCATCTAGGCTTGTTGAATCAAAGGAATAGAAGCCTTTGTAATACAGTATCTTGGAAAACAGAACAAGGGTAGAAAGAAAGGAAAACTGCCCGGGACAAAAGTAGTGGTAAATACCCCAAGATGTCATCCAGGGCGGTCGTCTGGGTTGGGGGACTAGGTAGAGACAGTTGTGAGAGAGAGAGATTCTAGAAAAGGTTGTAGAAAACATCAGGAGCTTCCTGAGCAGAGCTGTTGATTGTACAAATGTGCTCTGTTGATGTTGTGTGGCTTCTTCAGAGGAAGGTTTGTAGAATACCATTACTAACGGAAGGTTTCTTTATTGGTAAGTAGCCTAGGCAATCAGTTTCTGCAGTGTTTACGTTCTCATTTGAGAGGTACAAAACTGTAATCCGTTTGCTGTGGTGATAATCTTCCAGTTGTGAAACGAATGCACACCACTCTAGTGTTGACTTTGCAAGACTGCAGAAGTTGGTGTGACTATTTCTACTCACTGCTAAGGTTTATCAGCCCCAGAGCCACGTTTTTAAGAATAAATTATATTATGGACTGTAAAGACAGTAATGCAGCTTCAGAAATGTTTGTTTTATACTACTGCTTTTGTCATCCAAACAAGCTATGAACAGCAGATGATGAGGTTATTTGAGAGCCATTTAGTTCTTTTATGTCAGTGTGTATTGCCTTTGGAAGTGCTTCCTTTGGAGGAGAACAGCTCTACTTAGTTTCACAGACTTTGAGCTTCACACCTGTTGTGTGTCTATCCAAAGCTTTAAGTGTTCTGTGGTATGTAGGGGGAGTGAAAAGGAATTGAGCAGTTTGACTAAATATTGTCAGCTATGATATTGTGATGATGCCTAAAGTATTTCCCTTTTGAAGTGTATAACTGCAGACATCTCTTTTGCTTAAAACAAGGAGCTGCTTTCTATTGGCATTTGGGGTTTTGGGTTAATGCTAGGCAATGTAGTTAGGGTGGGTTTGAATTATTACCCAATCCAAATAAAACAGACCTGGACCTGACTTTGAAAGTAATTTGTCTTACGTCGTTTATACTAAAAAAAGTTATATTAGTGGTATTTGCTTCTTATAGCTTGTTATCCTCAAAATCCTTTGTATTATCCCGTTATATTAAAATTGTGTGTGTGTATATATATATTTATGAAACATAAGTAGACTTTGTTCCTTAGTTGGTGGAGATAGTTGTGAGAAACGTTCTTATACTGTGTTACTGACATGAGCTCAGATATCACAGGGAACGTGCATATGCACTGACCTGGATTGGTAAAACTCATTACGAGATTTTTAAGATAAATGTGTGGGTTTTTTTTCACACCAGGAGCTTTTGTCATTGGCCAAACGGAAACGCAGTGACTCTGAAGAAAAGGAGCCACCTGTGAGCAAACCTACAGCGTCTTCAGACTCTGAGACGTCAGACAGTGATGATGAGGTGAGTTTGTCATGTTATCGGTGAGATTACTGTGGGTTATTTGTCTGATTGTACCTAAGCAGTGAAAGTGTATTTATCATACAGTATATTTAGCCTGTTGACTTCATAAAGTGAGGCTGGCCATCAGTGGAACCGATGGACACTCATTAAGCCCAAATGATGTGTGCTCAGAAATACTTCTTTTTTTCTTGTCATTAATGCACGTTCAGTTGTAACCATATCAAAATAGTGTGAATGTCTGTGGAAAAGATGATTGCCTCTTTAATCCCATGTTCATGTGGTCTAAACGCTCTGGTGATCTGCCTGCTAAAAACTAGTGTTTTTCTTGTGTAATGCCTGTGGTTGAAGTAGCAGTGAAGCTGCTAAAGCTGGATTCTGAATTCAAGGGGGAGATTTTCAGCTCGAAGAGAGAGCTTCCTTCCTCAGACAAGAAGAGGGTCAAGGCAGATGGTAAAACTGTTGTATTTAGCTACTTGGATTTTCCAAGAACTCCACTGTGAACTAGCTTGTCTGGTCATTTGAACAAGTGACAGTGTGTGGTTTTATTTGCATTTTTGAAGAAAGTAGGACAGGAAGAGTTTAGAATTAACTTTGTTCCAGGGTTTTCTCATTTTCTTGTATAGCAGTGCTTATCTGCTGTATCTGTTTCTATTATTTGTTTTTGGTACTACATTTTAGAGCTGGTTGAAAGTCTCTGCTTTCATCTGTAAATGAAAATTGAAATACACTTATTAAAACAGAGGAACTGACGAACAGGTCATGCAGGTATTTGAGTAAAAACGCTTTCTTGAAGGCTTACAAATGTCTCGAATGTATCAGAAGCGGAGAAAAGACCTTGAAACAGGTACAGGCATTCCTCAGTGCCAGCTAAGAACTTATCACAGGTACAGGCATTCCTCAGTGCCAGCTAAGAACTTATCGGTGCTGCTCGCTGCATCCAGGAACACAGCTTTCTAGCAGCCACAGTAAAGAGATTTAACCCTTTCCTGGCTGAATCCAGCACATGAGCTTTCTGCACAATGTAGTGAGGTCATTTATCTTAAAAAAATTTAAAAAGTGACCTGTATCTAATATATACTTAAGGCATGAGGAGAGAGAAAATTATGAATGGACTAAATATTAGGTTTGTTATTGGGTGACCGCTCGGTCTGTCACTGTGTATATTCTGTGCCGTGTGGACACCAGCTTGTCTGGAAAAGTAGACTTGGGTGTGGAGGGCATGTGGATGATAAGTTCTTCTGTTTCTGTGTTTATCTCTGAAAACTGACAGGATAAATAATAATATTCAAATGATTAATTTTAGCTTGTGTAACTGCAAGTCAGGTCTACCTTTCTGTTGTATGTAGAATACAGCGGTGTATTTGTATCACTCAGGAATTTGCACAGACCTTGCAGGTGCAGTAGTGTGTCTGTTGCACCATGTGCGTTTGATCTGTGTATCATTCCTAACATATTCTGTTCTTTCTGACCTCCATGTAGCAAGAGGAAAAGATTTAGAGAAGAGGTAATTAGGACACTTGCTTCTATTCCTGTGCCTGAAATATGCATTTTGAACTGCTGCTTGTCACAGCAGGGAGGGACTGGCTGAGTTCTGACAGTTCTGCTTCTGCCAGTCATTCAGTTGTGTACATCCCTAGGTTTGACTACACTATTCCATGCTGAACAACTTTGATTTTAATCAGTGTTCTTGTGGTTGGTTTGAAGTGTGCTCAACCTTGGGGTCTAGAAGTGGGGTCCAAAAGTTGAAATTGTCCTAGTGGACTTTCTGCAGGATGAGGACCTTGAGGCAAAAGCATGGAAACTGTTGCCCTGGGCAAACGTGCTTAATCATACCCTTTTGCTTCCATGCAAGTTTTGTAGTGTGCGCATCCTTTGTGGTTTGTGTTCTTGTGGTTGGTTTGAAGTGTGCTCAACCTTGGGGTCTAGAAGTGGGGTCCAAAAGTTGAAATTGTCCTAGTGGACTTTCTGCAGGATGAGGACCTTGAGGCAAAAGCATGGAAACTGTTGCCCTGGGCAAACGTGCTTAATCATACCCTTTTGCTTCCATGCAAGTTTTGTAGTGTGCGCATCCTTTGTGGTTTCCGGCAAGCGCTAAACGTTCCCAGATTGTCGCGATGTTGCATCTACAGGAAAGGAGCCTAAGTCTCTGCTTCAGAGGCTAATGCTGCATTCTTTAAAGGGAGAAAGGTTTGTGGGGTGTTTGAGAGAAAGTGCATTTTGGAATTACAAAATGACAGCATGCCACATCTATACAGTGGTGCCCAAGGGATTTCAGCAGATATTCAATGTTATTTTCCGTGTCTCGGTGAGAATGAGCTTCTGTGGAAGCTCTTGGCCGCATCAGGTGTTCAGGGTGCAGACGCTGGGTTCTGTAACACTTTAAGGACCCCTGTGGTATGAATCAAATTACCTAGCCAAGGGACTGAAGGTGAGTTGCAGGCAGCGAATAGGAGAGATGCTCTGAACCTTTGGGGAGGTCTGTGGAATGTGCATGACTGAATCGAGTATGAACTGTTGTTCAGAGAACTGATAAGTAGCAATGGCTGTGGGGCTTTGCAATCAGAAGTACTCCCTTTGCAAAGAGAGACACTAAGGCGAATGCAGATGTGTAGGCAGACAGTTCGTTTGTGGAGCAGCGTGTGGCCGTGACTGCTCAAGAGCTTGCCATCCCAAACTGTTGTTAGCCTGCTGCACATAACCAGTTTGCTGTTAGCCAGCTTGCTACTGGGGCTACTAGAGCTATATGTGTCCCTGAGGTACCCTTGTTGCTTATTGAAGACATTGTGTGGATGGTGTTCCTCAGGTGCAGTAGGTTAATTCTGGGTTCTTGATCTTCCTTTTATCCTGGTGTCATTGCTTACAGCAAGAGATTTTCTGTTGCATGGCGAAGCCTGGATGACTACTGCAACGACTTCACTAACATCAGTGTAGATCAGACAGAAAGCCACGGTGGCGTAGGAGCTCCTGTTGCTTCTATTGAAATGTTGTGAGGGGTTTGGATGTGCCTTTTTGACATCTCTAGGGTGACAGCAGAAGATACTTCCAGGACAAGAAAAGTTGTATCCTGAGTGCTTGGTATTAGGCTGGAGTTCCACGAGGAATATCTGTTTATGCCTTTTTTTTTTTGTAAATGTGCAGATTCAGTAGGAAACTGCATAGCTGAAGGTCTTGTCGAGAGATGTGGTATGAAGGAGGTGAGCGGTGGTCATGCAGGCCAGTGAGGAAATCAGTCGGCCTACAAGGCTGCATGCCCCTGTTAGGAGGAAAGGACTTGAAAGTTTGGATCTGCGTACTGCGCACTTCAATTTAGAGCATTCTAGTAAACCACAGATTAGCAGAAAACTGCATGTGTTTCTTCTGTTTTGGGGGTGTCTTTTGTGGGTTTGTAGAGAGTACAGTGCTAAATGTCTTCCTTCCCTGTGTGCTTTTATTTCATAATACTACTTCGTTAGACCTTCAGGAACGAGTGGGTTCTCCAGTCATGTGAGGCCTTTGACATCCTTTTTCCCCCCAAAAAACCCCCCCCCCAAGCTTAGGAAATTAGAAACGAGCTGTGCTTTAATCTTATACACGGTCTTATAGGCTGTGTGCTTTGTAACTGACTTTTTTTTTTTTTTTGAGACTGTTTCCTTCAGCTGTTAATTGGTGCAGTAGTAAAGCTTTCCTTCAGGAGAAGAGGTGCTGTCACTTCCCCCACCCCAAAAAAGTGCAAATGCAAATCTAAATAGCCAGGCTAAGTGGGCGGAGACTAGCATGTCCACAGGAGTAATATGAACCAGCTGTGGACAAAATAGGTGTAAAATTTGGTCTGCAAGTAGCTGCTTTAAATTGCAAACTAGCATGGGAATAACTTTTGGGGACTTGATTTATGTGGTGTGAGAGTCTGCGGGAGCTCTGACGTGGAGCAGGTTGCTCCAAAAACAAACTCGTGGATGTATTGGAATTGAATATGTGATTTTTATTTAATTTTTTTTTCACTGAATGAATTTTTCCTTTGTACCCAGGGAGCAGTTTTTGGTGAGAACAGCCTAGTCAAAAGGCGCTGTCTAATATCTAGAGAAATCATTAAGCCTTTGTTAGTCCAGCTGATGCTTGCTGGCTGGTAATGCTAGAGCCATGCAAAGCACTCCTTGACCAAGTGTTTTATGGCTGTTGTCATCTCATGCTGTTTGGTCCAGGCTTCCAAAATGAAACACTGCAGGTCTTCACAGCCAATAGCATCCCCAGGTTTGTTTTGGTTATGGAGAGTGCTGCTTCTTTGGTGTTTGATATCTGCCATGTTGATGTTGTCACTCAGCAGTTTTTGCCATTTTTCAACACATGGACCTCTCAAAATACTTCCAGAGCAAATGTTAACTTGCAGATGAAACTGAATTTGAACCTGCTATAGGTAGACTTTATTTTCCCCATAGTTATCCATACTTACCTTTCTGTGAGCTCCTTTGAGCAGGACTCAATACAGGTGCATGACAATAAGGATGGATTAGGTGTCTGGTGATATTTTGGCCCATGAAGCCTTCTTTCAGCCCGTTCTTCTGTGCCTTCAGAAGGTGTTTCCTTTATTTCCTTATCTCCTTTCCATTTTGGTCTTGACACCTCTTTGTTTCTAAAAATGGTCCTTTATGTTTTCCAATTGCTGGGCTCTTTCCATTCTGAAGGTGTGTTCTGGTTTTAGCTGGGATAGTTAATTTTCCTCCTGATGGCTGGTACAGTGCTATGTTTTGGAGTTAGGATGAGAACAGTATTGGTAGCACACTGATATTTTAGTTGTTGCTGAGCAGTGCTTACACTGTGTCAAGAATTTTTCAGCTTCTCATACTGCGCTGCCAGCGAGGGGGCTGGGCGTGCACAAGAAGCTGGAAAGAGGGGACACAGCCAGAACAACTGACCCAAACTGTCCAAAGGAATGTTCTATATCATATAATGTCATGCTCAACATACAAATTAGGGGGCACGCTGGCTGGGGAGGTGGTGCTGGGGACAGGCTGGGCATCAGTCAGTTATGGTAAGCAATTGGTTTTGTTCTCACTTGTATCACTTGTCTGCCTTGGGTTTTATTTCTCTTTTTTATTATTTTCCATTTCATTACAATTCATTATTATTATTTTTATTATTTAATTTCAATTATTAAACTGTTCTTATCTCAACCCATGATTTTCCTGACTTATACTCTTCCAATTCTTTCCCCCATCCCACTGAGGGGAGTGTGAGTGAGTGACTGTGTGGTGCTCAGTTACTGGCTGGGGTTAAATCACGACAAGGTGTTTGAGGTGTCTGAATGACAGGTACAAACCCTGAAAGGCAAGAAATGTAACAAAGGATTTTTATTTACTAATTTTTTTTAACAGTAATGGTAGAGAGCATTTTCTTCCTTATAGCTCTCAGAGTGTTGTCTTCAGAGTTCTCCCAGCCTTGAGAAACCCTGGAGAGAGGAAATGCTGCCTTATCTTCATACCTGTACTGCCTGCTGCTGTCTTCAGGCAGGCTGAAGCTGCAGTTTGATGACTTGCCTGGAGGACTGCCTTTTCCCTGTATGAATGGAGGAGAATGGATGAAAGTTTGTAAACTGGACTAATGGTCTTAAGCTGTCATGTTGTCATGACGTGTAAGTTTATCTGGCTTAGGAAGGAGCACATGGGCAAAGGACCCGTTTCACTGTGATGTTGTGGCTTGTAATTTGCCTTTTGCTTATAACAGCCATATCCAAGAGGAAGGGATATGGCAAAGTCAGGTCAGTAACCTTGGTTGTGCATTTCTGTCCAGTCTGATGTAAAAAAAGAAGCAGGGAGAATACCTATTTGCAAAATTAAAACCTCGGTGGATAATGCTTTTGGGTATTGTGTGAATAGAAGAAAATATCAACTATTTGAGTAGTGGGGCTAAACCGATTCTACTGCATTTTGCACTCTGAGCTCACTCTTCCCTTTTTTCTTTTTTTTTTTATTTTCTTCCCTCCTCGATCTCATTTCTTCTCCCCAGTGGAAATATGTTCCAGATTTGTTGTGCTATAAATTATTTTCTTCAATCATTTTGTGTAGTGCTTTTGTAGCAACTGACTCTTAAATCTGGCTGATTTCTAATGTTGGGTGAGGGTTTTTTTCTTGTTATTGGCAGTCTATTCTGGGTACTGTGCCTTAACTTGGACTTCTTGGGGGAAATATGCAAGCTATTAGCACTGTGGACCTTTGAAGCAAGAGAAAAATTGAAATGCTTGTCTGGCCACTTCCTGAGGATGAACCATAAAGCTCTGTTGTTTGATAGTGCTAAACAATTAGCAGAAAGCCATGTTGCAGCACACTTCTGCATGGGCTTATTAACTTGCTGTGACTGCAATCACAGAGGTTCCAGATGGTGGCTGAGGAGGCAGCAGTGAATAGAGGGGCTGTTTAGAGGAGATGTTCTAGTCATGGAAAGCCCGAGAGAAGTATTGACTGGCTCTGCCTGACTGGAACATGGAAGAGGGAACCAGGAGAAGCTGCAATAGAGGACAGATTTTGGAAAACATGGTGGTGGTTTGAAGTATATGGAGGTAAGGGAAACAGAGCAAACGAATGCTTCTGGCTATAACGGCATATACATTTTTACTGGATGTTATATGCGAACATGTTGTTGCGTTTCTGATCTCCACTGGTGTGCTAGAGCATGAGGAAGGGGCTCAAGATTGTAGTTTTGACTGCAGGTTGCCATGCAACTTGCGGCTTTCCAGTATGGCCTTTCCCGCTCCACCCCCCTGCCCCCAACCTGCTAATTTCTGTTAATGTCTTCCTCTGATGTAAGGAGAAACTTGATGTTGGCTAGTCTCTCTGAACAATACAGAGAGGTCATTCAGTGTCCAAATGACAGCTGATGCTCCTTGAGCTTGTAGAGCAGTCTATGAGCCTAAAAGAGCCTCGCACTGACTACGTCCTGGATTTGAGGATTTATTTGTCCTTAAGGCTTGCTGGAACCCTTGTCTTGTCCTGTGGTGGTACCAGGAATGACCAGGCATTCATGAGAGATTGGGGTAGCTGAGGAACACCTGAAACACCTGAATTGGGTGAGGAAAAAGTTAGCTTTGTGACAGCATTGAAACTAGTAGGTGGCAACCAGTTATTGTGAATTAAAAGATGTAGAGGTTGTTTGCATAAACAAAAGCAAGATGAATTGTAATATCCAGGGTGAATCAGAAACCAGAGCAAAATTTCCTAGACTGTGGGGGATTTTATTACTTTTGTTTGTTTGTTCAAGAGGTGGTGGGACAGCTTCCTCTTTAGTCCCATGTTCTTGGACCCAGGTTCTCTCAGCAATTCTGCTTGTGGGTCAAAGGCTGAGGACTGTGACCTGTAATGCATGTATCAATAGCTGTAAAACATTTTATTAAGCACTGAAGTCCTGCTGGTTTTATCTGATCTTACCTTCTTTCATCTCAGCATGACCTCTCAAGGTCTTGATATATCTGTGGGGTCTCCTGTGGCTTTCTCCGTGCTTCTTTCTTGTTATACAGCATGCTGACATATAATTCAGTGTTGGAACGCTAAAAAGTGGTGAGAGCTCTGGGAAGGAGTTACCTTTGCATCCCTGGTTCAGAGGGCTCTGCTCCTCCCTGCTGAGTACTCAGTTTCACTTTCTCGCTGTTGAGCTTTCACGGGTATGCTGGCAGTAGGTGAGCTCTTGAACACATCGCAAAAATGCGCTTTTCTGTAGTACCTAGGAGATGATTCCTTAACACTGAGGTTTGAGCAGATTCAGACAGGGTACAACTTTGTTCTTAACTGACTTACATGGCCATAGTTAACCAGGAATATTAATAGGCAGCAGTACTGTAAACACTGAACAAATAAAACTTTAATGTGGAAGCCAATAAAGACTTGAGTACAGGCTCAGGCTGATGCAAAGTCGGATGCTTGCTGTGCAGTTTGTCACCTATCCTGTGGACCATGACAGACTGGGATAACTGCACAGGGTATGGATTGCAATGGGAGGCTCACCACTAAGTAGTTGTGCTTCTGCATCAGAAAACTGCTGGCTGACCTTTGACAGATACTTTAAGCATCAGCTGTGTATTCAAAAGTGGATGATGCAGCAGGTGGTAATATGGGTGGTCTAAGGCCGGATGTCAGACTCAGCAAAACCTAGGAAATTCTAAAGATGATAATAGGTCAGGTAGTAGCTTGTGACTGCTCGGTTGGGTTTCTTTTAGAGTATTTGAATGTCTGGTTTCTCTGAATCCTAATCAGGCAGAAGGCATCGTCAAATTCGATGGAATTATTACTGCCTGGGGAGATGGACATAATTCATGACTCAGGAAGGGGTGAATGGGTGAGAAACCTGAAGTTTGTGTGCACCTGAGGTCTCTCTGAAGATTTTCTAGTTAGAGTAACTTTGAGCTCAAGATCTCAGTTAGCAAAAGAGTCTTTGCTCTTTTGAATTAGGAATACATTTTTTCAGTAGATTGCAAGCTTGAAGAGATGGTGATGTGCATGAAAGATGAGTATTTTACAGGTATGAAGAGGATAACAGTGTAAAAAAAAAAAAAAATATTTAGAAAGAAACTGTCTTATGCCTGAAGGTCTTATGCCTGGAGAATTGCTAGGACAGGTAGTAAAGTGGAAAATAATGCAAGGCCTTAAAATAATACACAGGCAATTCTTACTGGTTCTGTTCCTTTCTGGCTTTATTCAGATAGTTGGCACAATGCAAAAATTCTAATAAGAAATCACACTGTGAGGTAAATTCTTTCTTCTGTGACTTTGGGATATGAAATTGCTGTCTGTGTGTGGGTGATGGTGTAAGTCCTGTGGAAACTGCAGTCTAAATTAATTGAAGATATGATGTTAAAAAATTAAGATTTGACATTTTCTTTTTTGTTCTTTTTTTTCCTGACTTCTCTGATTCTGATTTGGTTCTGACTTGTGTACGTAGATGCAGGGGGTGGCACCAGACTGTCTACAAGGGAGTGAGCTATTGGTTTGTTGCATAAAAATACAGGTGCTGTGTACTCTTGCTAATACTGAGGGTTTTGGAAAGACTGTCATGTATAATGGGTGTGCCTTCATGAAATCCAAAATCTGCTCTTGAGTTAAACTAGTTTTGGGAACATATCTGTTGCTGCTGTTTAATAGCAGTAAATTGAAGCTAATCTTTACAAATAAAGTTGGACACTTTTTCAAAATTACTTTCCTAGGAAAATGTTTTCAGTACCTTTTTTCTCCTGGCAGATATTGCAGGCTCTGAAGTTTTCACTGCGTTTAAAAGGAGTGCCCTACCAACTGCTGGTTTGCACTGATAACAGTGTTGCTTTTTTTTTTTTTTTAAGAAAAAAATACAAAACAACCACATAGCACCTCACCCTCAACCCTAAAAAACTTTGTAAAGTGCTTTCATTTGATAAGTTTACTACTGGCTGTCTTTTTTTTTTTTCCCCTCCTATGATTGATTAGTTGCTGTATTGGACTGTTTCTCAGTTGGTTTTATGCCAGTGTTTTGCGCGAGAGAAGAGTGATGTTCGTGTCTTGTGATCCTTTTCTTGCTTCTTTCCTTGCAGTGGACTGTTGGAGGTTCTAAAAACAAAAAAAAGGGAAAGGCGGGTAAGGCAGAGAAGAAAGGAGCCATGAAGAAACAGACAAACAAAGCTGCCTCTTCAGGCAGCTCAGATAAAGACAGCTCGGCGGAGAGCTCTGCACCTGAAGAGGGTAAGATAACACACGTGCCTCTCCTTACAGTGTGATTCCAAGGAAGTTACCCCTTGTGCACGCTGCAGGGTACTGTTAAACGATGATGTTAAAGATTATCTTTAAAGAGTTTTCTGTGTGTTACTGGTAGTCTGGATGATTCTTAAACTTGCCATGGCTTGAAGTGCATAAAATTCGGTATATCACTGCTGTAAGCACTCTGTTACAAATGTAACACTACTGTTCCAGCTGAAGAGTGTATGACAGATTTCATTACCTGACTCTCCTGGAAAATTCTTGCCTTCCTTCTAGCATGTCCCATCTACAGTATGGGTAGCATTTTCTTTTATTCCAGTTGATGTATTTTCCCTTCCCAAACTTCCTGTGATGATGGAAGGTGAGGTGTGTAGCATGGTGTCTTGCAAATAGGAGCTTATCTTTTATGCATTTGCTCTGAATTGATATCCTTGCACATCTGTAATGAAATGGAAGAAGAAAAAATCATTGCTATAACTTTGTCAGAATTTCTTTACTTAATCTGTTCCAGTGCTAGGCAAACTTTGTGTTCTTTCCTGTTTTCATTGTGCCTCTGAAGGTTTGCAGGTGGTTAGTTGTGATTTCAGTTGATACTGAAAAAACAGTTCAGAAGGAATGTGAAGGAGCCTACAGTGTTAAGTCTATTTAAGTCTACTTTCTACGTTTTAAGCCAAGACAGCAAAGCATGAAGTCACTGAACCTGTATCAGTGTATACCAATCAGGGTTTTTCACAGTGTGAGCTTGCAAAGCCCTTAAGTTTCCAGAAATACTGAGATCAGAATGAAAGAGGAAGAAAGATCTCTAATGTCTGCTTTTGCGATTTGGTGTAATGTAGTTGATTAGGTGAGATAATCAAAGCACTTGGGCTTAGCTCAGGTTTAAAGGTGGTCTTACTCAATATTACTGGGGAGTCAGCTGTTCCCTAAGCCCATGTGAAAGGCTTGATACGGTAATGGGGTTAGCATCATGGCCTTGCCAGTCCTGAACGTAGCGTGTGACAACTTTATCTTGTGATGTAGCAATTCAATGTTGCAGTCTTTGAATGACGGATTTTGGGTTTTCAGTTTGCTGTAATCAGGTGTATTGGCGATGGTTAATAGCGGCAGTTGAGGTGTCCTCACACACAAAGTTATGGGTGTACAAGCAACTTTTCAGGGACATAAGCATACAGGCATAGAAATCTTGTCTTAAGACCCTAACACTCTAACCAAAAGGCTTCCTGAAATTTGCTTGTTCTACTTGCAGTAGAATAAAGTATTACAGCAATAGCTAAATCCAGGAGGAAATAGTTTTTCTTGATATGTATGCTTTTAGTATAGTGGAAGAGGAGTGTAAAATTAATTCTTGATATCCTTTGCTTACATGCTACAATGAAGTGGTTGGGCTTTGCACCGGATGAATCTCATTGCCTTGTATTTTTGTTTTAGGAGAAGTCTCTGACTCGGAAAGCAACAGCTCCTCATCTAGCTCCGATTCAGATTCCTCATCTGAAGATGAGGAATTCCATGATGGCTATGGAGAAGACCTCATGGGAGATGAAGAAGACCGAGCTCGACTGGAACAAATGACAGAAAAGGAGAGAGAGCAAGAGCTGTTTAACCGGATAGAGAAGAGAGAAGTGCTGAAGAGAAGGTGCATTTTATACCTGTTGATATTTGGTAGCAGATTCAGGCCGGCTGTATGGAGAGAGTGCTGACTGTGCTCATGTGTTTGGGGTCTAAGCATTCAGCACCAGAAAGTGAATTAAGCTTCACTGTAGAATTTTTTGTGTAAACTGTCCTTGTAACTAGTTGAGAAGGACATGGCAGGAATTCTGCGTGTTCTTCAAAAAGTCAGTTTCTGGAAGTTTCTCAGCTGTTAAGTATATGTGGTTCTGTCAGATACTGTTGTAACCGTGTTGCTGCTTCGCACCAGATGCCGGACAGTCAGAAGGATTGCTTTCTCTTCTGTCTTTTTTTGTGCTAGCTGTCACATGCTGATACTTTGGGAAAAGGCAGACAAAGTGTAAGGTGTTTATGACCTGCTGGGATTTTTCAGAAAACAGTGCTGGAGCACTGAGCAGTGTTAGGGTTGCCTCTGCATGGGTGTGAAGCTGGTTGGGGCCCTAGTAAAAGAGAGGGAAAGATTGAAATACTGAGGAGTGGTGTTGGATATGTCATTTTCCAGAGATTGTTTGTGGATTTCTACCTTAGGTGTTGTGGTTTTGTTTGTTTTTTACTGTCTTGTCAGGCAGCTTCCTTGTAATAAAGGTAGTTTTCTCCTCATGTGTCCAACAGAAAAGATTTAGCATGTGTGGGGCAAGCTTTTTCCAGTTTCTTCTCTCTTCAGTGACTGCTTTCTTTTCTCACTTGCTGAGAAATTTCTCTAGAGGACTGACATCTGAGTAAATCATGTCAATACAAGCTACTGTCAGACTGTACTGTATGTTTGTCCAAGCCATAGTTAGGGCACAGCCTGTCTGTCTGTGGTTTTAATACTACTTTCAATGTTTTCTGTAGTCTGCTGCTCTCCTCAAAGAGCTCACCATGAGTGAAAGATTGGATTTAGATCAGGTAGAAGGACACCATATTTTTAATTTCATTCACTGTTCCGTGGTAACTGAATGTCTGTCGTTAACTGAATGTCTGTCTTTTAGAATGAACACTGGAGAATACTTGATACCAGCAAGCTAAACAATCTTAAGCTTGAGTTACTGATTTAATCTTAAACAAGTTTGTCCTGTTCTATGTGAAGGGATTGGCAGGTGGAAGTAAGGGGGCGGTGGTGGGGTAGCTATTTAACTTTATGGTAAGTTAAATCTTTCAGAATGCTGTCCAGCTCTTTGTATGTACGTTGTGCTGTGAGTTCATTGGGATCACAGCAGGCATTGCATGTGATACAGTGCCTGTGCACTACACTGTACAGGGCAATGAGCTCATCTGGCACTTCAATTTCTTGTCTCAAAAATCCATTTGTAAAGGGCTGAAGAAGAATGGGCTGTGTAATATGGATGTGGGTAACACATTTTGAATTTCAATTATTGGAAGTTAAGTAATTTCTTTTTTTTCCTTGTGTTTGTCCACATGCACACTTCATTAAAGCAATGATCAGTCCATGGTGCAGTGGAATCTCAGTCACAGGACAGTCCCAGTGACATCACTACTCTTCTGATCACAGCGACTAAAAATAAGATTTTAGGGTAACATATTTTGTGGAGGTAGAACTGGAGGTGCCTAAATTGGACTGCAGAAACGGCCTGAGTCTGATTGGAATGTAGCTGCTGAAGGAGGACTCGCTTTGATTTCTTGGCAGCTGTTCTTCCACAGACCAGTGCCAGTAGAAGGGTGGAGTTTAAGCATGACAAAAATAGCATGATAATGGCTTTAAACAGCCAAGGTTTTAGATGTTGAGATTCAAATGATATGAAATCGTTTATAGAGTTGGGGGCAGCATGCAGTGGTCACTACACTGGAAAAGGTGAGGATGGATTTCTGGGGAGTAGCCATTTCTGTGTGGTCTCCTCAGCCCTTTAGTTTAGCTGTCTGTAAGCCTGCACTTTTCTATGCTCAGCTTTTCTTCACCTTGTATTTCTTAGGGAAGGCAGAGGATGGAAATGGGGGAGAGGATAGCATTAGACGGTTATCCATCTAGGAAGTGTTCCTACAGCCTACTAAGATTGCTAATTTAAGATGAGATAGTGGTACTTCACTCAGGGAGAGAGCATTCTTTCATACTTTTTTTTTTTAATACCTGCTACTAGATTTGAAATCAAGAAGAAACTAAAAACGGCCAAAAAGAAAGAAAAGAAAGAGAAAAAGAAAAAGCAAGAGGAAGCGCAGGAGAAGAAAAAACTCACACAGATCCAGGAATCCCAGGTGGGAAATGAAACTTTACTTCATAACAAGCCCTTTTCGTTGGCAATAGGAGATAAGATGCTGCCTCTCTCTGCCCCTAATGTTTTCCCCTAATGTTAAGTAAGTGTGGTAAGCAGGTCAGAATTTAGTTCAGTTATTTGCTCAAGCTATCTTTAGCCTTTCTGGTTCATTTAAGGAAATTAACATCTTTGGCCTGCTGAGGGATGCACTGTAACTCCTTTTAATGAAAAATAACAAGTTGCAGCTGTATCTGGAGTTGCTGTAATAGTCCTCCCATATGAGAACAGGAAAGTAACCTTTTGCAGTTCCTTTAGCCAAGCGCCTGTTATTCAGTCTGAAATGTTACATATGTGGTCTTTCTTGCAAGTGAAAGTTTGAGAGCTGGCCAGCAACTGCTCGGCTGTTGTCTTAATTATTCTGCGTGTACGTACGATGGAAAGAATGCTTCGTTTCTACTGGTAGGGCTATGAAGGAGAAGTTGAATGCGAGGAGGAACAGAAGTAGTTCTGTAGTTTTTCTACCTCTGGTAGAAAGAGAATGATACTAGGTTTTTGGGGTGAGGCCCCTGTAACTGAACTGTAGTTTCAAATGTTCTAGAAACTGTAATTTCAAATGCCCACCCTTAACTATTTATAGAGTCTGGGCAGATAGGCTCCCAGAATGGGATGGAAATCATTTTGCCTAACTTTATCCATCTAAGAACTAGTGGATTGTTTGGTCTTCTTGTCACCTCTCTTTGTGCGATGGAGGAGGGTATCTCCAGCTGGCAGTTCACTCCATGTTATTTTCTAGTGAAATAGGTGTTTAACACTTAAATCAAATTAGGTGAGATGAGTTTTCCCTTAGGCACCTGTTAAGTGGAGTGAATCTCATCTCCCTACCTCTCTCAACTCCGTGTGTGTATACTTGTATAGTCCGTACATATAATACATAATGTGTAGACACGTATACATATGCATGTATCAAATGATCTTATGCAGAATTCTTTTACAGTGCCTTCCAGAAATTACTTTAACTTACTTCAAACGACTGCCTCTTATGCTTATTATAGAAGCTGCTTTCTGTGTTACTTGGTATTCCAGATAGACCTGTTAGAAAATATTAGAAGACTTACAACATTTAAGATTTGGATCCATATTGCAGACTTTAACACAACGTTATTTCTGCTTTAAGAAGGAGAGACTAAAACTTGGTGACAGAAATGTTGAAGTGTATACATGTTCATTTTTAATACAAAGTAGGAAAAAGAAAGATGATTCAGATTGATTCCTCTCTCCTTAGCCTCTGTAAAAATGAACTTAAAGAAAACTTACTTCAAAGTGGAGTTTGTTAGTAGTTTCTATTTGAAGAGTTTTCAAAATGTGCAAATAATCTTTGTTTTAATGCATTTCAATTTATGGATTACACTTGGTACTGAGGGACTTTCTGGGCATGTTTTTAGGTCACGTCACATAACAAAGAGCGGCGATCAAAGCGGGATGAGAAGCTAGACAAGAAATCTCAGGCAATGGAGGAGCTCAAAGCAGAAAGAGAGAAAAGGAAGAACAGAACAGGTATGATAGTGTGTTGCTATTGCTACAATTCTTGAGGCATTATTACAGCTTTACGAAGAGCTGCTTCCTGTGTCTAATTAGTGCAACAATCCTACACCTTGGAGTCAATGAATCCATGTCTGTGTTTTCCTTGGTCTTTTGCCCAACATGACCACCTAGGATATTGTTTGGCAACACTGGTGCTCTCCCTATTCCTCCCTGGAATGGTCTGAAAACAAAGCAAACTTTCATCGCAGTCCATTGACTGGCACATAGTTCATGTATTTGAATTGGTCACTTAGATTCTGTTAGTTAATCTCTGAACCATCCCAACCGTATTTATTGAACTTTTGCTACCTTGTCTATATTTGGTTGTTTCTTCACTGCTGCATCATCCTGTCCATCTTGCCACAGACTTCTGATGCAACCCTTTTTGTTACTCTTCTGGGTTTTTGTCGTGGTCCTCTCCAAACACAAGATTTTTTTTTTCCTCTTGCAAAAAACCAAGGAGTTGTCTGATCATAGTAGTTTTATATTGTGTATCCTGGTGTTATGCCCATCTTGTATTGCTACATGCAGTCATGTTGGGAGACTGAAGATAGGTACAACTGAGATTTAACATGCTTTTAAATACTTGATTTTTCTCTGAATATATGCAGTAGAGTCCTCGGCTTATTAGTGTATTTGAACATGTGGCACTTGTAGCTGTTAATTTTGCATTGGTTATCTGCCTTTTTTTATTTAAACAATAGTTTCAGCTCTAAATGGAAGCTTTTACAGAAAATTTATGGCTTATTTTCCTTTGTTCGCTCTCCTCCTTCCCCCAGCTGAATTGCTTGCAAAAAAACAGCCATTAAAAACTAGTGAAGTATATTCTGATGATGAAGAGGAGGAGGAGGATGATAAGTCCAGTGAGAAAAGTGATCGCTCATCGAGATCCTCATCCTCTGATGAGGAGGAAGAGTAAGTAGCAAACACCAGACTGTGATTATTTGTGTGTGTTGAAAACCAGAGATACATTTTATTTATACATGTGCTGTTTTAGGGGATTGTTTGACAGTGGTGCCTCTAAAGGGGTTTTGCCCCTGGGGGTACTTGTGTTACTCAGACTTGAGTCCTTGGCTTCTATATGATGGTGCATGGGACTGATTTGCCTTGGATGGGTTTGCAACTTCAGTTCCCTGCGGTTACCTTTAACCCTGTGTACGCTGCTGTTTACAGATTTGTTTAGTCCTACAGTTTAGCACCCACAGAACGCTGGCATGTTAGCAGAGCAGAGATATGTGCTGGCTTACTGAAAACGTTGGCTTATAAGATGCCTTGGCATGTGGGTCTTTCTGCTTTGTGGTTGCAGGGTCAGTGGGCACAAGTCTGGGACTTTGCATTAAGCCTTAGTCATGAATGCTAAGTTCATATCTCTGCAGCCAACAATCATTCCTTCTATTAGTAATTTTATTGGTTAGCACTCATGCTGCTCCTTGCTCAGGACCCCTTTTTTGATGATTGTCTCTACTTTTTTTTTTTCTTATTCCTTTCACCTTTCCCAAATCAGGAAAGAAGAAATTCCTCCTAAGTCCCAGCCAGTGTCCTTGCCTGAAGAACTGAACCGAGTACGATTATCGCGACACAAACTGGAACGCTGGTGTCATATGCCCTTCTTTGCCAAGACAGTCACTGGCTGCTTTGTCCGTATTGGCATTGGAAATCACAACAGCAAACCTGTGTATCGGGTGAGTTTAGTTCCAAAGGATTTAGTTCTTTTTATAGTGCTGTAATATAATATTTGCAGCTTACCAATTCTCAGGTACCTGTGATTGCTTGAGTGATAAATATAAAAAGATTGCTTGTAACCAGAAAACATAATTGCTGCCAAAGAAGTGGAGGAGACTGGTTTAAAAATAAGTAAATCTATGGGACCAGCTAGGTGAAGAAGAGATCTATGTAGTGAGAGAGGGAGCACTAACAAAGCCTGTTCTTCCAGCTTTGGTTCAGGCTGTCTTGTCTCATCGTGTTGCAAAATTGAGTTCAGGACTCTGCTTTGTCCAAGTAAGGATGAGTAATGTTCACTCCTTATTTGTGGGAATGTTCCCAAGTTATTGTGTGGTCTTGGGGTGTTGTGGTTGGTGTTTTGTTTTTTTTTTTTTTTTTTTTTTTTACAAAGCGTTTCTAGTACATCGGTGTGTGTCGGAAGAGGAGGTGATTGAGAACACAGTGTTGCTTTTCTGTTTCACTGCTGGAACTGCATAACCTTAGGGTGCAATAATATTCTCTAAAACTGCCTTAAAGTCTGCAGAGGGGCTGTGTTTAGTATGTGCGCAGCAGTGGTGTATTTCACTTGGGACATATGTGAACCTACATCAATATTAATTGAGAAGGAAATAGGAAACATAGGAAAGTGTGCCAAACTAAGGAAGGCCAAACTAAGCTAGAAGAACCACATCAAGCATTCAGATGGTATAATTCGTCATCTCAAAGGTGATGCATGAAGCAACTAAATCAGTACTTGATAATGTGCACTGAAGAGTCTTGGTTTCAGTGGTCTAGGTAGAATTGTTAGTTAGATTAAGGTTTCTGATTTCTAGCAAAAAAGCTTGAGTATGCCAGATATATTCTAGGAACACAAAAAAACCCCTGTCTTGTATCCTTCCTTTTGTGCATTTTATTCTGTGCTGTAGGTTGCTGAAATAACTGGTGTGGTAGAGACTGCAAAGGTTTACCAGCTGGGTGGTACCCGGACAAATAAAGGACTACAGTTGAGGTAAGACATCGAAGTAATCCTTATTGATTCATGAGTCAGTGTTCTCTTCATAGCAATTAGGTTGTCCGTGTGGTTTAGAGATGAGAACTGAAGAGCAGAGTGGGCCTTGCTGCACTGCTTACTGCTAGAATGTTGGGGGGGTTGAGTTTGTTTGGTTGTTTTCTTTTTTCCCCTTAGGCATAATAGAAATTATATTTAAAAAAAATCTCATTCAAGGACTTGTGATTGTGTTGACACCTGAGCAATTCCTTTGTGTTACTAACCCATGACTGTTTGTGTGTGCCTCTTGAGCTTTGCAGCTCTCTATTCTCCACTGTTGTTATAAGGAGATGTTAGAAACACGTGTCATTTGGAGGCATACATGGTTGGGTCTGGCATACCTGTTACAACGTGAAATGGTACTTTGGAGGGAAGAACCTAAATGTAGTATTGGATTTCTTAGTTGTTCATACAGCCCTTATGAGGTGAAGATTAACAGTTACAATACAAAACACCCTGGTGAGGTAGGACAAGAAGACGTTAACCATTTGGGAGAAACAGGAAGGCACATGGAGAATGCACGTGTGCAAGTGTGGAGTGAAAAAGGTGTCTTATCTAAATCCATTGTGGTATTCAGTAACTTCTTAGGCTACCTCAGGAGGGAGCTCCGTGCTTTGAGTGAAATTTACACTGTGGCAACCATTCTTAATATTGGTTAGTAGCAGTACAGTACTTCAGCTGGTAGTGCCAAAGGTGTAGTGCTCCATGGAAAATGTTTAGGGATTCCTGGCTCTTGACTGGCTGATAAATAAAAAATTAGGCAGGGATTGGCTTCAGCATTGGATAATTTAATACTGCTCAAAGGCTACTTCTACTGGTCCAAATATGAAGGAGCTGTGTGTTTCCAAAGATTATGCCATGGGTTACCAAATAGGTTATGTAAGGTTTGGGTGTGAGGGAGGTCTGTTTCCTTCTGAGGGTTTTACTGCCACAACTGAGCAACTGTTTCCTGCTGTCTAGTTTTCCTCTGCATTACTGCTGATAGCTGTAATTTCAGTAGGGTCCTGAACTGTGACTGACCTGGCTGAAGTAAGGAACAGATAGCATGTGAGCCACAAGACCAGCCGTAAATGTCTGGTTTGGGGCTTCTTGAATCAGTTTATACCTGTGGATCCAAGATCACAGCTCTGTACCATCAGAGAGGGATGTTGTTACACTTTCTTGTTGCAGGCATGGCAGTGATTCACGTGTGTTTCGCCTGGAGTTTGTCTCCAATCAGGAATTTACTGAAAGTGAGTTTATGAAGTGGAAGGAAGCGGTAAGTTTGCCAGACTTCAGTTTCTTCTTAGCAACCTTCTGCCAAGAATAGTTTAAGTGAAAAGTAACCTCTTTGTCTCTTGTTTAGATGTTCTCTGCTGGGATGCAGCTACCCACACTAGATGAGATAAACAAGAAGGAAATGTCCATCAAAGAAGCCCTCAACTACAAGTTTAATGACCAGGACATTGAGGAGGTAAACAGTGTGTTGTAGTGAGGCTGGGGCTTAAAGGTGACAGGAATTCATGGAGTATAGCACTAGCTGTTAAGCAAAAATGATCATGGTATTTGCTTCCTAATAAGAAAATTAAGAGCTCAAAATGAAGCTGCATAACTGGAGAGAGTAGCTTGGTGATTTAGCTGTTGTTTTGTGCTCACTCCTGCTTTACTTCATTCTCTGTGCTCTGTTACCTCCTCTTGAAATTGTGTTGCAGAGCTCTGGGCTTTTAACCTGAGTATGACAACTTACTTCTCAAGTTCTGAAAAGCTAACAGCATCATGATAGATGCATTTATCACATTTTCTGCAGTTTAATACTTGCTTAATGCTGACCAAATGTGATTAGCATCAGACTTTTGTAGGTTGTAAGTGAAGGGAATGGAGCTCATTGGCAAGTCACAAATAAAAAACATGCCGCAGAGAGAGAGCATGAGTAAAATTCTGTGGCAGTAAGTACATTTCTTAGGTGATATTGATCTGTTACTTCTAGTGTCCAAGTACTGAAATAGACATTTCATATTTGCAAATTCTTGCTGTTTCCGCTGCATCTTACAGATTGTGAAAGAGAAGGAAAGGTTCAGGAAAGCACCTCCAAACTATGCTATGAAGAAAACTCAGCTGTTAAAGGAGAAGGTGAGAGATGAGATGATGCCTGCAAGCTTAATGCAGGCTTTGATTTTGAAGAACTGGAGCTCATCTGGAGTTTGACGGTAGCCAGCAGCAAGCTCGACTTTAACTGTGCAGCTAAAAGGTGGATCTCAAGGTTCATTGCTGGGTTCAGACCACATGGAACCCAGTTAAAGCTGTTGCATTCTTTTTCTAAGGGCAATTGCCAACAATTATAGCTGTCTCTTTCTGTGTTCTTTAAACAAGAAGGTCTTAAACTGTTCTGGTTTAGAAACTCTTCAGTTTTTTTCTTTTTCTTTCTTTTTTTTTTTCCCCCCCAGGGTACCCCATAATAACATTTGATTTTTCTATACTTTTTAAAATGGGAAAAATAAGAGTTGTGTTAAGTTGCCTTTTACTCAAGAGTGACTGAATTGTCACTTTGTGGCTAATAATTTATATTGAAAAGAATATGTTGCTGAAAGATTTACTTGCCCCTGAACTGTTTTACACACAGACCTCCTGGAATGAATAGACCTGACAGTGCTGTGAAGCCAGAGCCAAGTAAACAAGCAGTCTTAATTATCTCTGAAGATACAGACATAACTTTTATTTGGTTTTATTTATGCAGCCCTTTTCCAAGACATTTGTGTTTTGTATACAGGGAAACAAAAAAAAGTTTGTATTAATCCTTAGTTCTACTTTCTTTGGCTTAACTGTATTGTTTGGCTGTCGTTTTACTACGCAGAGTATTTCACAGTATTTCTTCACAGAAATATTCTGCGTAGTAAAATGATGACCAAACAACATGAATATGGAAATTGTTAGTTTTCCATTGCAGAAAAGTGCAGTTGCTTTTTATTGTCACCAGGTGGCATAATAAGCTCCTGTTGTTGGTCTGGTGGTGTGGCAGGGGACTCTCAACTCCCTGAAATAGTTGGCAACTGGCAGTTGCAGAAATAATAATTCTTTTCCTGGGCTGGTAAATAGCGATATTAGATTTTAATCAAACCTGGAACTTAAATAATCTGACTTGTAGGAGCACTAATGCTAGCATGAGGAGGAAGTCTTCCTTAGTTTAAGGGGTTTCAAAATTTTTCAGAGTTCTTCAGAGTAAGAAGTCCTGTTTTGCCTTGAGCTGTAAGTAGAGTTTAGCTGTTCCTTGTGTTCTTATCAGGCAGGGTAGAATGTTTGCAACTGGCGTAGGGTTAGCTGGCTGATTCATGGGTCTATCCCTCGTTTCTCTGACTAGCCCTGTGGTAGAGAGTAGTGACTAACGAGTTACTATTTGGTTGAAGGCTATGGCTGAGGACTTGGGGGACCAAGATAAGGCCAAACAGATTCAAGATCAGCTTAATGAACTTGAAGAGAGAGCAGAGGCCCTGGATCGTCAGCGGACAAAAAACATCTCTGCAATCAGGTAAGAAGCAGATACTAGGAATTTCCTTTCTTAAATAGTATCAGTCAAAATACACAGAGAAGAGAAACTAATGCAGTAGTGAGTTAACGGCAAGATTTTGTAGTCTTTCCTGTACAATATATTGATGAAATGTGTATCATGCTGGCTCTGTTATCATGTGCCCATCTTCACTTCCTTGTATCTGTCATTCAACTGTCAAAAATGTAAACTGTCTTCCACATACTCCAGGTAGCAGTTGTGTTGCATTAAGAGTAATTTGTAATCAAGATGAAGCTGCAAGAATGCTGTTGGGTATTTTGTTGTGTAGGAATTGATAAATGACAGTCACTTTCTTCCCCCCCACCCCTTTTTTTTTTTTCCTTTCTGCAGTTACATCAACCAGAGAAATAGAGAGTGGAATATCGTTGAGTCTGAGAAGGCTCTTGTGGTAAATAGTGCTGAATTAATACTTCTGTACAAGTAGAGATGAAATGATGCAAAGGGGAATAATTGCATGATGAAGTTATTAAGTTTTTTAATGATCTGTAAAATCTTTCATATAGGCAAATGACATGATTTGAAAGCAGATTGCTTTATTCTTGTGATCGACTCAATTATCGGCAGATTGCTGACTGTAATAGTGACAGTGCGTTTGTACAAGGAAGAAAGCGGAAAGGAGACCTCAGAGAATAAAATAGTAAAGGAAATAGTCGATTCTCTGCAGTAACACTGCTGTTAAGGGAAAGTTCAGCTTGTTAACAAACGGTTAAGCCTTAACTGTCCTGAGATTTGTGCACCTGTCTTCTGTGTTATATTCAATAAGGACAGTTCTGCCCTGTGACGCATAGGATTGTGGGTGTGTCAGTCTTTTTAGTCTGTAATGCTGTTGCTGGTTTCCCTCAGATCTTGCTGTTATATATAGCTGATGAGTGCTTGCAAGGACGGGGTGCTGTGGGAGGATTTAAAAGGGTGCGAGTAGCTAACTCTGCAAAACCATGTGCTTTTTCTTCAGGCTGAGAGTCACAGCATGAAAAACCAACAAATGGACCCCTTTACTAGGCGGCAGTGCAAGCCCACAATAGTGTCTAATGTGAGTGTAATACTTCAGTTCAGTCGAGGCAATCTGCAGAGAAACAGAAGGCAATGTAATGCAGAGAGTTGAAAGGAAAACGTGGTTTGTATTCGTTCCCAACTGTGCCATATGCTATTAAAGCTCCAGATGCCAGGGTGAGATATAGTTAAGTGAGATCCTGGTGTCATTATGCCAATAGAAGGAAAAAGCAATTTTTTTTTTTTAATGCAGAGTATGAAGGCCATAAGTGATGTGGGTATGTACACGGAGAAGCAACTGTGGTTTAGACTCCTGTATTGAGTTCTATGTAGAATTACTCAGGTTTAGTTAACTCTGGGAAGACAGTTTACTTTAGGTGTGAGTTTCACTTCTAATTAGTTGAAACTTTCCTAGAAGATCTTTGAAAGGAGAGAGCATTTTGGGCCTGTGATGGATAAAGTAGTTTAGCACAAACTTTCTTCATGATACTGTGGCAAAACCTGCTACTGCAGTCCCTAGCTATATAAACGATGGATAGCAAGGTGGTCAGCTCCTACTTCTAAACAACCTGGCTTTGTTGAGGCCTTTTCTGTATCAGTACTTTAAAGAAAAAAACAAAACCACAACACAACCAGTCAGGTGGGTTCTCATCAGTCTCCACAGACTGGCAAGGGAATAGAAAAGGAAACTTATTGCAGGACTTCTTTCAGAAGTAATTATTTAATTGAATTTTTAATGCAAAAGGGTCATAATTGAGTAGCTTTATTATGGTAGTCAACTATTATGTAAACAAAAAATCTTCCAAAGATTTCTCTCTAGTAAAATGTTTCAGTTAGAACTGTAAGCTGAAAATGAATCCATCTGACAGCGCTAAGATTAGTCACAGGAGCAAACCATATCAACAGGTTACCTCATTTTCTCAGAGAAAGACTTTCTGAAGGATAACTTTTAGTTTGTTGCTGTCAGATGCATTACAGAGGTATCAGGATGATTCCAGTTGTCTCTCAGATCCTGAAGATTGACCTAACTGATCTACAACCTCATGTGGTTTTAGATTCATGGATGAGTGCTGTTTTAACTGAATGGCAGTACGGTTTTTGCCACTTTATTTAAAGTGATTTCTTCCTTTTTTTTTTTTCCCTCCTTTCTCTGCAGTCCAGAGATCCTGCTGTCCAAGCTGCCATCCTTGCCCAGCTAAATGCAAAATACGGGTCTGGTGTATTACCAGATGCTCCAAAGGACATGAGTAAGGCAAGTTTCCATTTCTGTCTCTGTTCCAATCCTCCCACTGTCACCGTTTTGCTCTCGAAGCATATGACTAATAGATGTGCATGCTTCTGTTCTAGAAATAGGTGTCCTGTGGAATGTTATCACAGGAAAGCAACAACTTTTTCTTGGGAAAAGAAAATTAAGTTTCTCTAGCAGTGTGAAAAGTAAACTCTGTTTCTGACAGAAGTTGAGGAAAAGTATTTTGATCTCCGTTTGTCCAGACAGATAATGGTTGGAGTCTTACCTGTAGTTTTTATTTCAGGGTCAAGGGAAGGATAAAGATGTGAACTCTAAATCAGCCAGTGACCTCTCAGAAGATCTTTTCAAAGTGCATGACTTTGATGTAAAGATTGATCTTCAGGTTCCCAGTTCAGGTAGGTGTTCCCGGAGTTTGGGGCTGTGATTGTCCAGCTCATTATGGTAGAGGTGGCTTCTTCCAGAATAGTTCTTTCAGAATCATATTGGTGGGCTTTTGAAAATGGGAGAAAGGAGTTGGGGTTTGTTTTCTTGGCAAGCGTCTTGAGCTGAGGAGGAGAGGATGTGTGCTAGTGACATCCACTGAGAAAACAACAGCTGTATTGTGTTAGACTAAAAGCCTACATATCCCCATATCCTTGCTCTGAATGCCCAGGGGGAAAAGGAGATAATGAGAGTGTTCTGATGTACTCTTCCAGTCTATGGTACCTATAACTTGCATAATCTCTGGGGAACAGATGAGTGTTGTACTTAATAAGCCTTATTATCTACCTTGTTACTTACTTCATTAATTTATATCTTTTGCAGACAGATAAGCTTTGGTGTTTGTGATATCCCATTCCATAATCTGTGTGTGTGCTGTGTGGATAAAATATTTTCATTTGATTTTGAACCTGCTGCTTCACCACATTGCTATTCCCTAACTTTGGTATTGAAGCAAAATTTTAGGGGAACCAAAACACTGAGTAGGGAGTGAAGGTATGCTTGCTGACCCTTCCTCACTGTAGTCTTGACTTTGAGAGTCTGAGATGTGTGGCAAGAACAGTTCAGTGTTGTAGAATCATAGGGTCATGTAGGTTGGAAAAGACCTTTAAGATCGAGTCCAGGTGTTAACCTAACACTGCCAAGTCCACCAGTAAACCATGTCCCTAAGCCTCACATCTACACGTCTTCTAAATTCTCCTTTCTAAACCTTCTCTGGTGCATCTTGAGGCTGTTTGCTCTCATCCTATCCAGCTGTTATCCAGTGGAGGGAAAGCATGAGAGTATATCAGTGCAATTTGACTCACGAGGCTTTTTTATTTTTTGCATTACTGGAAGGATTATGGCTGAAGCTTCTTGGAGGACAACAATTTAGGAAGTACTATAAGAATGCACAAAGCCTTAAAACCTTGTCAAGAAGGGAAAGTAGGGGAGAGGTGGTCTTTCCAAATTAGGTCAAGATTGGAAGTCTGGACGTAAAACTACAGAATGAGGTAGGATGCCAAACGTAGGAGACTTCCTGAAGCAGATAGTGAGAGTTAATGAACTTTGGTAAATGAGGGTTAGGCATGAAAAGACCCCGAAGGGGGCTGAAAAGAGAAGGACGAGAGACACAATATAAGTGGAGGGTTAAGTATGGCCATTTTGGGTTTTTTGGGGTTTTTTTTACCCCTAGACAGAACACCATTTTGGCATCTTGCTTTGTGCAATCTCTTAACAAAAGAACCTGGGGATTGGTTAAAATGTGTGTTGTAGTCATGGGTAGGATGATGATTTATCAAAGATTCCAGAACTGAGCCCGAAGGCTGTTTGTACTGTGATTTTAGTGTGCTGTAGCACTTTCCTTAAGAAATGAAAGTATACTTACCGACAGAAAGATGGATTAACAGACAGTCCAAACTGCAGGTGCTTTAGCTGTGAGGATAAGCTACTCAATACTGCCTGTATTATTAACTGAAGTTCTAACCTGATGTGTGCTGGAGAAGCCAAATGCGGTGGTGATGTCAGCAAAAGCACCAAGTAAAAATCTGTAGTTTTCATGTATTTCAGTCCTCACTCTTTTTTCTTATTCCCCACAGAATCTAAGGCCCTGGCCATCACCTCCAAGGCTCCACCAGCAAAAGATGGTGCCCCTCGGCGATCATTGAACTTGGAGGACTACAAAAAGAGGCGGGGGCTTATTTGAGCATACCCACTCTGCTGCTTCTGATCCTGCATGCTCCATGACGATGTCCTACCTTTTCTTCCTCCCTTTTCAGTTCTCCCTTCTGGGTTGGAGCAGCAATGGAGCTGGGAAGAGACTCTTTAAAACTGCCAGTCATCTGTAACATAAACCATTCAACTATTTACTGTATAGACCTCCCTTCTTGCCCTTTCCTCCTGCCCCCCTCACAAATGTGGATCTGTGCTATTTGGGGTTTTCCCATTTCTTTTAGTTTGAGTTTTGTTTTTATTTTGTTGATGCAGCTCGTTGGTCCACTCTGTGTTCAGTATTAGCCTGAGGTCTGGATTTCCATAGGAGTCTCTTGGTGGTCGCAGAATCAGCACTTGGTGATCTCCCCTTACATACCACCACAGGCATGATGAATAAACGTTGGCGCAAGACCTTTGTGGCTGGAAGGTCATCTGCACTTTCTTCCTCCTCTTCTTCCTCCTTCATCCTAGCTTTGGAGAAGGGAATCTTCAAAAACTGGCTTAGGTTCAAAGTGTAAATTTTTTTGGGAGGGTTGTGTGACTTTTTTTCAGGTGTTTTTTATCATTTTTAAGCTGCAGTACTATTTGTATCCGTCTGTCACAGTTCTTTACGGCTGTTTTGAATTTCTACCAGCTGTACTTGAGCATATGAAATTGCAAGAAACAAACTCATTAAATGTGATTCTTCTTACTAAAATGGCTTGGCTGATATAGCTGTTTAACTTCACGTTCCCTTTTTTACTTATGCGTAACTGATGAGAGAGAGGCACGCAGCTCTTGATGTGGGACTTGTCATCTGCAGCACGTCAGGAGTCTCCAGCTGTAACTGAGTGGAGTAGATTTTTTTCTGGGATGGCGCTGGGGTGCTCATTTGTTGGGCTTTAATTTCTTCTCCAAGCCCCCAGTGTTACGTATTTGTTAAGTCATCATATCTTCACTGGGCTCCAGCTCACTTTGTTACTTGCTTTGTGAACCATTTTAAACGGGGCTTCGATAAACAGACAAAAAGATTAATCGTTGCTTTGTGTGGAAGGGGAAGGACACAGTAAGGACATAGTAGAAAGTTCAGAGGGAAATGTGTGAGAGGTGAGCATTTTTCATATATAAACTGGTACAAGCGGAGTGCAGCACTAGCACAAGAATTGTATGGCTTTATGGAATATTTGACTGGACACAAGGTGACAGCTAAATTATCACTCAGGTGTTTAAAAAAAAAAAAAATCAAAGTGTAAATATAAGTGACATTTAACAAAGAACTTTTCCAAACAAGATACAACTGAATATATGGAGCTAAGAACTAAATTAAAAGAGAATTAGAAGTCTGAAAGATTAGAGGCCCTCGTTCAGGTAAGCGTGCAAGCACGTGTTTGTTCCTACTCAGGCCAGTACATGTATAATAACTTAGGCACTGAACTGGATAGGAATGTTTCTGGGGGACCCTGAAGAGGGAAAATGCTGATGCTCTTCTTGTGTCAGAGCATTACTGTTTTTCTGAAATCATGCACTGGTTATGTTTAAACCCGTGTTTGATACTTTCTTGTTGGATTCTTAATGAAACTTTAATCTAGTTCTTATTTAACTTTCTCTTCCTTTTTTAACAGTAGCTTTAAAGAAACATCAGTTGTAATTGTGTGCAGATTGATACTATGAATTGTGTATAAAAATTAAAATCAACCTATGAAGCGGCTCTTACCTACCATGTAAACAAATAATTGAGAATCCTTCAGTACTTATTTACCGAATAGCCCACAGTTCGAGGGCACATGTGGGTTATTCTGTAAATATGTAATCATAGACTGTTTTATTTGATGGCCTATTTTAGCAGCTTCTCTGGAGTTCTAGTAGGCTCTCACATGTATGTACTTCCAGCTTTTTAAGAGTGGGTTTATGGCATCTACCATGATAACTTCATAGGAGACATCGTGATTCACTGTGTAGATATGCATTTGATATGATTTTGGTTTTTTTCAACAGCTTCAATGACGTTACAGATTTGTAATTAAAAAAAATCTAGACTTATTTTGCAATAGCCAGTTTTCAAAATGATCACTCTCCAATGCTTTGCAGAAATAACTGCAAAATCAAGCAATACAGGAACTGAGTTTTTGACAGAAATGCCTCAGAGCTCTGAGGTGCAGTGACAGGTGGTCTCTAAAGGTGAAGTTAACTCAAATTCAGTATTTTTAATATGCTTGCCCTTGATGTATTGGTTTTAGGTAACTTCTCTGTTTGGTAACACAAGAATAGTCCGTACTACGGCCAAAATGTCGACGAGACCCATACATTGTCGCAAGTAACTTTTAGTAGAGATAACTGAAACAGGGGAGATGCAGTGGGTTTAGAATGCAGATCTGAATCCTGGGCTATATCCTAGTTATCTGCAATTATCAAACTGCCACTTACCCTCTCGAAGTCTCTGGATTCTGCTGAAATACTGTTCTTAAGAGGCGACGGTAAATTACCACGCGAACCTCCGACATGGAGAATAATACGTCAAGAAAGTACTCTTGAATAGTTACAGAACTGTGTATGAAAGCTGTAATCTTTTTTCCTTTAAGTGCATGTAAAGGTGAGTGACTACACCTCCCACTTGTTAGAGAGGGAGAGATTTGTTTGCTTTGTTTCATTGATGTCCTAGCATAGTTCATCACAATTGTACAGACTTCTATAAATAAACTTGGTTTGTTGGTTTAATAAGGTTGATTGTTTATCCCTTGATCTGAGGTGTTAAGGGCTTCCAGCCTGTGTTGGTTTCCCCCCCAACACTTCTTTTATCAGTCTGGATGATTTTATTTAAAATACAGTAAATTAATTAATGAAAAGTAGCCCCCCTCTCTTGCAAGAGTGGCTGTTGATTCCTGGCTCTCTCTAACAACAGGAGTTGCTCCTTAGCACTAGAATCGAACGGAGCTGCTTGGAAGGTCCGTTCACTTGCGCCTCTGCCGCATCTCACTAACAACACCGGCTTTGCTTGTCTTGTAGAAACCCAGGCTACTGTTGTAATCGAAGGTGCTCAAGCCTGTGGCTGAACTCAGAGAAGCTACTGAATGAGATGAAGCAAGACTGTTCTCAGAGGGTGATTGGTGGGAGGATGAGGCACAGCAGGCGTAAGTTGATACAGGAGATGTTCACCCGTAGGATGGTCAGAGAGGAGAGTTGTCCAGACAGATTGTTCTGTCTATTCTGGAGGTTTTCAAGAGAAGGCTGAGTGAGGACATTAGTAACATCATGCAACCTTCTAGCTTACCCAGCTTTGAGCAGGAGTGTGGACTGGAGACGTCCCTGAGCTCCCCTCTGACCTGAGTTATCCTGAGTTCTTTCCTGTTGCTTTCGCCAGTGTTGTCTGTCTTCCTGCATATACAGCCTCCTCCCCATCCCCCCTCCCACACTGGGCACACAGAACTTGTCTCACAGACATGGTGGCTTACCGTGAGCAGTGTGGCATTGCCCAACACACACATCCTCTCTGAGAGCTCCGGGTGTGTACGCCTATAGAGTTTGTGCTGGGGATAGCTGTCCCTATAGATTTATGGCTGAACAGCCTAAATGACTATGGTTGACACTGTAGTGAGGAGCTGTAACTGAAGCCTGATTAGCAAAGCCTTCCCTTGTGCTTTGAACAGCAAAATGCGTTTTGAGTTTTCCACCTCCTTAGGAGCTTTCCTAAATGCATATGCTTCTGAGCTGCTGTGCAGGGTCACAATTTTTTTTTCAAGGGATGTTTAGGACACAGGGTCTTGAAAGTGGGTTGATGGTTTTTAACTGGCTTTGGGAAGGATAATCAACCAAAGGGAAAAGTTGCGCCTGAAAGGAAAAGGAATGAACTAGCTGTGAGGAAAGTGCTTCACACCTAGTTCATGCCTAGCAGAAGGTGGAAGCAGAAAGAATGTGAGAACTGAAAAGGTGGAACCTGCACAAATGCTTCCCTGATTATACGTACTGGGGAATAAAGAGGCACGTGGATGTCATCTCAGATTTGGGTTTTGACATCTTTGTTCCCCCCCTTTCTGCCTTAACTGAAGGATAGTTAAGCTTGTCCAGACCACCTTAAGCTTTTAATTTTGGGTTTCTTAATTGTGGGGAAATAAATGCTGTAAATTTGATGCTTAAACTGCAGATGTAGTTTTGTTACCTTCAGCACAGGAATTTAGCCTTATAGAGGGAGATGCTTAAGTAGCCAAATAAATGGGTCAATTACCTTTTTTTCTTTTTAGCTGGAATGGTTAAACACTCACTGGTTCTACCTTACCACCACCATCATCACCCACTTGAGATTTTAACCCCTCCTCGTGCTCAGCTGTTGAAGGAATATCATCTGAGCAATTTCTTTAGTCTCATGCAGTGTGGAGTTATCTGGGTTTAAAAGAAATACCAAAAAACCCCACCATCCCAAAACCTTTATTTTCTGCTTTGTCAGTTGGACTGCGAGGGTAGTAAACCTGAAGAGATGTGTGGTCATAACATCTTAAACTTTTCCAGCTGTTTGGGAAGCCAGCCATTAGATACTCCCTCAGGGTTCTTTGTCTTGACCTCTGTCTGGATGTTAAAGGCTCCTGTGGCCCAACGGTGTCAGGCCAAATGAAGTAGGTGTTCCTCCCGTGCCAGCCTTCGGACACCTGAGTGTTTTCTTTAGCACCTCTCCTTTCTAGTGAGAAGAAGCAGTACCCAGCCAAGAGTACGAGCAGTCAAAGAAGGTGAATTGAAGTTGGAGCTTCCCTGCAATAGTTAATATATTGCCATTACCATGAGTAGCAGAAGGCAGGGTGAGTACTGAGAGTACGTACGATGGGGTATCTAACATTTTGTGTCAGACAACGTGTAGGATACTGTGCCCAGTTTTTGGGTTCCCCAGATCAAGGAAGGTTTCAACCACCTGGAGCAAGTTAAGTGGAGGGCCAAGGCGGCTGGGGCTTGTTCAGCTGGAGGAAGGTAGTGATGTAGCACCGTAATACCATATTGCTGCGGTTAGTAACAGGCCATGAGCTTAGTACGGAGTCTGTGAGGCTTACTGAGCTTCCCTTTCTGGACTTTTCTTGAAATGCCTATAGCTTTGTTTTGCTTAACTCTGCTTTAACAACAGTTTCCCTAACTGGCCAGGTGTCTGTGGCTAATTTGTTTTACTTCTGTTTACCTTTGGGTGGTGCAACCTTAGTTTTATATATATAAAAGTAATAAACAGTTTATGTAGAATGAGATATTTATGGAAGTAATAAACAGTTAGTTTATGTAGAATGAGATATTTATGACCAAATCAACGTGGTAGAGAGAAATGCAGGTGTGGTGCGATAGCAGAGACCTTTAGAAGTGGGACAAAGGATGTAGTGTAGAGAAGTACAGATGATTGGTGGAGCACGTGTATGGGACTGGAGACCCTATAGTCATATACTGGTGAGTGGTTACCCACCAGTGGACAAGTATGTGTTTGTTGTTTGGGGTTGGTTTGTTTGTTCTTCTTTGGTTAGGTTGGCTTTGGTTTTAAGTGGGTTTTTTTCTGTGTGTGTGGTTTTTGGGTTGGTTTTTTTTTGTGTGTTTAGTTTGTTTTTTTTTTTTTTTTTCTCAAAAAAAGAAAAGGTAGAACCAGAACTGGACAAAACTGTTTAGGGAATAACAGAACAAAGAAATCGTATCTACTGTATGTGAAGGGCACCATATATTTGGATGTTGCATGGAGCTGTAGACCATTGAGGAAAAAGAAAG